GCTATTGAACAACTCCTATTTCCCTCTCCCAGTGCCTGTGACCACCATTCCACTCCCTGCTTCTGTGAGTTTCATTATTTTAGATCTTTCTTATGAGTGGAATCATGCAGTGTTTGGTTCTTCCATGTCGTCACACATGGCAGCATCTTCATTTTTAAGGCTGAGTAGTATTTCATCATATGGATATACCACAGTTTCCTTATCCATGCATCCATTGATGGATACTTAGGTTGATTCCATATTTCAGCTATTGTGAATGATGCGGCAATAAAAGTGGGTGTGGTGGCTCATGCCTATAATACAGCTGCTCAGGAGGTAGAGATCAGGAGGATCATGGTTCAAAGCTAGCCTGAGCAAAAAAGTTAGTGAGATCCCCTCTCAACCAATAAAATGAGCATGGTGGTGAATCCCAGGTATCTGAGAGGCCAAAGTAGGTGATCACTGTCTGAGGCTTGATCTCAGGGCCTTCACCTTGAGCCACTCCACCAGTCCTGTTTTTGTGAAGCGTTTTTCAAGATAGGATCTCTCGAACTGTTTGCCCAGGCTGGCTTTGAACCGTGAGCCTCCTGATCTCTGTCTCCTTAGTAGCTAGGATTATAGGTGTGAGCCACCAGCACCCAGCTAATTACTTTTATGATTATTGTTATGCTGGGAGATACACTGTGATATTTACAAAAGTTCTTACAATTTATCATAATTGAATTCACCTCCTCCATCATCTTTTAAATTTATGTTTTGATGGTAGCCATCTTAACAGGTGTAAGGTGGTATCTTATTGTGGTTTTGATTTGCATTTCTGTGATCATTTAAATGTTTTCTTTCTGTTCAAGACCTTTGCCCATTTGAAAATCAGATCATTTATTAATTTGCTATTTCTTAAGTCACCTGTTTGGGTGTCCTCTCTGCTTGCTGGGACCCTGGCATGCAGAAGGAGGGTCAACAGCTCAGAAGGCAGAGCATGACTGAGGCCATAGTAGGGGCTGTGTTGTGAGCTCACCAGCCAGTTCTCAGGGCTCTGGCTTCCTGAGGGGGCAGCAGGGTCTTTGGGCTGGGGTGCAGACACAGGTAAAGGTAGGTTGGTCTTCCTTTCCAGGTAAGGGCCTGGGCTTCCCTGCAGCCTGCCAGGTAACCCCTCTGCAGTGCTTGGTGCATGAAACCTGTTTGCACTGGGAAGCCCACGTTCTGGGCACACGTACTGGGTGCCCAGATGGTGCCTGTATTTATGAAAGCCCAGCACACTGACAGGACCTGCAGACACATGGATAAATATTTTGCCTTTCTTTTTAGGCAATATTTGAATCTTTCAAATTTAATTGCTGTCAAAGGCAGGATGCTTACATCCCCGAGGCAAAGCAAACAGAGAGGGCCTCCAGTGAGGCTGTTCCTGCTGCTCCATGCAGGCTCTCTGGCCGCCACCTGCACTGCCTGCTCCTTGCTTTCTTGCTCTTGCTGAGAGTCAAACAGCCTCTTTTACTCACTGGCCTGGTGGGCTGCAGGTGGGAGAGGTTAGGGGACTGGCTCCAGCTCGCCTGGGTCCTCTTGCAACTTGTTGGGTCTGTGTTGAGGCTGAAAGATCCTGACCGCAGCTTAGGAATCAGGCACTTTTCTCAGACACGAGTGACAGGCACCAATCTGCACATCACCAGTGGCATCCAATGCAAGGGAATGTGTTTTGTTTGATTTCACAATTATTGCATGCATAGCTGCTGCTAGATATGGGACTTTTGAATAAATTGGATACAGGCAGCACCTCTGGCAGGGCACCCCCACCTCCTACCAGGAGCAGAGCAACAGGTGGATTTCAGCACTGAGTACCCCAGGAGGTACCCCTATGCAGGGCACAACCTGCCTGACTGTACATGTCCAACCAGGAGCTGATGGTTTTCTTGTTCCAATCTTTTGCTCTTTATATCTCCTTCCCCTCTTTTTCCTATACAATCCCCCCTTTTTCCCAAAACCATGACCTAGTTGCCCCTTGGATTACATTTGCCAAGTACCACAAGAAACTCCTCTTCTACCTGGCTGTGAGCGATGTTTCTTCTCACATTCTCTGGACAGGGAGGAGGGGGTGCTGTCATCTCAGAGTTCTGCAATGATCACCTCCTTTGATGCACCACATTCTAATTTGCCCCAATTATTTTAATTCCTTGCATGTAATAAGAGCGGTTAGATTCTTTGCCCACTGTGGTCTTGCAAAGGGTGCCTCATATGATCCATGCCTTACCTCAAAGCCATGACTTTGATGATGCCTTGCTCCCAGGGCTCGGGAGAGAATGATGAATGAGTAAGACAATCTCCCTGCCCTTGAGAAACTCATAATCTAGTGGGGGAGTGAGGCATGTAAACAGATAAATCACAGCCAATGGTGTGTTTGCAGCATAAGGAGGGACCAGGAGGGGAGGAGGGAATAGCATGGGTGACTGCTGCGGGTGTTATCCTGAATGCAGGGAGGCTTTGCTGGGAGCTATCATGGGAGGACCAGTGGAGTCCCTAGAGAGGCCGGCAGGGAGAATAGGAGCTGTAGTGAAGGGATGCTCCAGAGTCAGTTTTTGCCCGCTGGAGCCTTGGGGGTGTGCAGGTTGGGGCCAAAGGGAGCTGGAGAGGGGGCTGGGACTTTATGCCCGAAGACTGTGGGTTCTTCCTGTGTGTGAAAGAGGACAACAGAGGTCTCTGAATATATTCCACAAAGGAAATTTGACCACGCCATTTCCTTTGTGGGATATACTTCAAGGGGGAAGGTGGCCTAGTAGAGGGAGGCTCTGGTTAGACAATCCTGGGTTCTACTCCTGGTGAGGTCACTTCCTTGGGCAAATCACTTAATCTTCTTGATCCTTCATTTTCTTACTGTAAATCGAGATGACCATAATAGTAACACCTATTTAATTGGGACAAATGGATTAAATGAAATAATGTCGGTACCAGAGTTTCTCACTGATGGGAACAAGTGCAGAACCCAGGAGTGGGATACCTCAAGCCGTTAACACTGGGTGTAGGATAAAGATCTCTGTGTGCACCTTGACATGCATGCATTAGAAACCACTGGGTTGCAAGGTCAGTTTCTTCCGACCTAGCAAGCAAATGTGGTTGTTTGTTGAGACAGTCCATTGTAGTCATGTGTCACTCAGTGATGGAGATACATTCTGAGAAATCTGTCATTAGGCTATTTTGCCATGATGTGAACGTCATAGAGTGCACTTACACAAAATAAGATGGCCAGGACCTCACCTCTTAAAGGCTTTGACTAAAACATAGTCATGCTGCATGTGACTGTATTAGGATAGCTACTATGGAGGAAGTGGGGACTGAGAGGAGAGATGGGACTCCAGGATCTTTTCTGAAATAGAACTGACAGAATTTGGTGACCAGTTGATGGTAGGAAGGAGGGATCGAATCAGGGAGGAGGAGACATGGGGACGTGCTGTAGACTGGAGGAAGCATGCTATTGATGAAATTAGAGAAGGTGTGGATTTGAGTTGAGGAAGTGGAGATGGTCTGGTGGATACTTTTTCCAGAAGTTTAGCAGGATGATGGATGAAAGTGTGAAGAGGAGGTGTTCTGGGGGTTGGGGAATACTGGGGACATGTGAGAGACTGCTGGAGGGTGTGGGATGAGGGGGCAGAGGTGGAGGAGCTGAAACACTGAGGCTATAGTAAAGAATGTCTGTTATTTTCTAGAACTTCGCCTCTTTGGATAGAGTCTGTCCTGTTAGAGGAATGTCTGCCAATAGCAGGCAACTGGCACCTGGGCAGTTGTCCAGATATGATTTACAATAAGGCATCACTTTCACAAGGCACTGTCTAAATTATGGCACTCTACCAATTGCCAGGTTCCCTGCTGACAGTGGGCCAGGGGTCAAACAATTCAATCAGGTGCCACCAGTTATAAATTGAAAATCAGTGGGGTGCAAAATGGATTACCATCAAAATCCATTCAGGTGCAAAACCAAATTTCAAAACCCCTAACCTTTAAAAATCACTCTTTTCCTGATTCTTTACAATGCCCTGTCATTGAGTTTTAATATTCCCCAGATAAGCAAGCATCAATAGAAATACCTACAGGAGACCAAAGGTAATCTGGCCTTCCTTTTGGAATTTGCAAACATGGTGGAATTTTGAATTAGTACACTGGCAATTCTGTTAGGTTCCCTAAGGCAGCAGTTCTCATACTTAAGCATGCAACAGAATCACCTGAAAGGTTTAAGAAGATTCAGCCAGGCTCTATCTTGGAGTTTTTGATTCTGGGGTTGGGTCCGAGAAATTGAATGTGTATCAAGTTCCCAGGGGATACTAATGCTACTGGTCCTGGGATCACCCTTTAAAAATCTCTGTCCTAAGGTATAGGGACATTTTGACAACTTTACTTGCAAAGCATGCTTTGATTGACAACTTACTGTGAAGGTCATACTAGACCATGTGCTGAGTTTGTTAAGGGGGCTACAATTTTGTCCGAGAAACCTGAGAAGAGACTGGCTCAAGTAGACACAGATTGATTTGAGTGCTTTGTGTTCAGAGGTGAGGTTGGGGAGGGTGGAGAAGAGAAAAGGGAAGACCCACCTCCCCCTCCAGTCTGCCCCCATTACCATTCCAGAAGACTGTGTGTACTGAAAGCACAAATAACATCACTGAGACTGAAGCCTGCTCTCTGACCCCTGTCTGGAAACTTAATGTTTTCTGATGCCAAAGTTCCTCTTTTGACTTGAAAGTTGATTTTCTTAAAAAGATTAGAAAAACATGAGTATCTCTTTTTTTTTTAAAGCTAGCTTCTAATAGTCTAAACTTTGTCTCTTCCTACCTCTGCACAATCCCACAGATGTATTTTTTCTAAATCGGTGTTGTTTTTGATTGTGGTCCTATTCTCTTGAGTCGAACTTACTGCCTTGTATGATAAACTGGAGGTGTCTTCAGGCCCAACATGAAACAAGAACAGAACAGTGGATCTCAGAACTGCTTTAGATGTGGCCACTACTCACTAAGATTTGGTTTCCTGTCTCTCTTTTCCAGGAGAAATTGAGCGATGCACGTACATCAAGTACCACTACTCCTCAGCCACCATCCCCAGAAACCTCACGTTCAATATCACGAGGACTATCCGTCAAGACGAGTGGCATGCCCTGCGTAAGTACACCCATGTCTCTTTGGCTGTGACTGTGCTGTGATGTCTCTTGGAAGGCTTGATGGATTGGATGTGCCTCCTTCTGAGATCTGTGGTCAGTCTCAAGACATTGTGGTGGGTCCTTACAGTGCCAATATCTGTGGGTCAGAATTGCCACTGTTGGTTTGATTATGTTACCAATTTTGGGAGTCAGCTATTAAAAAAAAAAACTGAGAACAATAGCGACAACAAATCAAACCACTACCAGTTAGACAATAGTCTTATTTCACTACCTTAATAGACATCTAAGAGTTCACCTACCTGACAAATCTTCTCTTGGGATTTAACTCTAGCATGTCTCCAAGTTGCTTGGCATATTATTGTGGTAACATGCTAGTCCCTTGAGTTGCCATTTGTGAAAGATGAGACCAGATAACTGCATTGCTTTGGGGATTTGCACCCGGGTGGGGTCACTGAAGGGGTAGAGTCTGGCCTCAACTTACAAGTTTCTGTGTGCCTTTGAACAATAGGCTTTGGGTTCCTGTGTGCTTTCTTAGTAAAGATCAGAACATCAGTGTCCATTGGTTAGGGAATTTCTTGGCCAGGGATCCTCAGAGACTTACATTGCCACCACGGGGTGACTTAATGAGCAAGCAGAGTTGGTTGCCTATTTTTATGCCTCTGCTCCATGGGGATCTGTGCCTGTCTGTGGCAGGAGAGCTCCTGCTCATTGCTGGCCCAGTTCTTTGTGCTGACCCATTGGTCCTGTGAATCTATGTGCTTGTTGGATTTTTCAGGTATTCCTATTGCCTCTTTTTTTCTCCCAATTTCCAAAGGTTAGGGCTCAGTTTACATTTGTATGCAAATGAGTGCTCTTTTATTGTTTCCTGATATTAAAGATCTCTTAGTTGATGAACTTTGAAGGAGGCAACTCTTTAGGCAGAAACATCTTTCTTCTCTTTAATGTTGCTCAGTTATCATTTGTGTGCATGGGCCCTATTCACTGGAAAAAAATTGGATGTCCAAATTTTTAACAACTTGATTGTTACTCATTGCTCCTGAGATGAAACAATAAAGCTGGTGCCAGGGAATGGAACAGCTGTAACCATACTGTTGCCCCTACAAGTTTTAGTCATCAGAGACACTAAGCAGCACATGGGAACAGAGAGCTAATGTTCAAAGAGCACTCCCCTGTGCTAGGCATGGAGCAAAGTATACCCCATACCTATTTAATTTTAATATGAGATTTGCCTTAGAGACTCTAGTAATCAGGGTTATTAATTTCTTTTGGGTGGTGGACACAGAAGGACCCAAATATAGAAATACATAACAATAATTGCTTATTTCCCATAATGCATTGGTTTAGTATAGTCAGTCACTCAATAGGAAACTAAAAGGAGTATTCAAGATATGTAAATTCTGTTGAGTAGTCATTTAAATATAACAGATTAAGAAACTGACATTTCCGTTTTAATTCAGATGAACTGAATCGAACCAAAGTTACTGAGTTTCTCTATGTATCAGGCTTGTAGTAGATACCAAGGCCACAGGGAGCTCTCTAAGGAGCTGTAGTCTGGGAGTGGAGAAGGGCGGGATTGGAGGGAGACATTCACAAAGCAAATAATTACAAGGCAATGTGATAATTACAATATAGGAGAATTGCTTCTAGCATTTAAAATAGTTTGTGGAGTTTTTTCATTAAGAAGAATTATTTCAGTGTAAATTGCACAGATACACTTCAACGGAAACATGGTAAAACTCTTTTGGCTGTATACACCATAGAAGTCTGGAATTCAAAGAGATCACCCATTGAGACATCATTGGAAACATGTCACCTGCCATCAGCCAAGACAGAGCTTTGTGGGGTCCCCTTTGAACACTGTGTGTCTCCAGGATGCTCATTCTCCAACTGTAGCACTGTTGGGTTCTGAAAACCTAAGCACAGCTTCTGCTGTGAAAAGGGGTGCTAACAGATCTATTTTTAACTGATGAAAGCCATTGCAACAATTGATTCATGTGAAGGTCTCCAGCACACGGTGTTGGGTGAATCCTTTGGTGAAGGATTCATCTGCCTCTTTCACAAAGTTGCCTAATGAGCTATTAAGCAGGCAGAGAACATTTGCCATGTCTGACATCCATGACAGCTATTTTTAGCTGGAGGGCAGGTGAGCATCTGTCACAACTGAAGTTGGTACTAAGTGTAACTGGGAATGCTGGCTCATGGCGAAGCATGATACAAGCCCCTGTTAATTTTTAGAGATTGAGTATCGATGACATCAGGTAGGAAGTGGGCAGGGAAACCCCCTTTGAAATATCGAAGAAGCAATTAAAGATTAGAAACTCCTGTGATCAAGCACTAACCATGAGGAAATAAAACCCCTTGATTTCTTGGTCTACAGACTATGGCTCAGTGGTAGAGTGCTTGCCTAATTAACATGTACAAGGATCTGGGTTTGATCTCCAGAACTGAATAAAAACTCAAGCAAACAGATTTCTTACTTTGAGATTGCTATATGCTTTAATACTCTGAGTGGGATCAAATAAATTTATTTCATAGTAGGTTGGTACCAATTAATAATTTGACCATAGTATCTTATAGTCTGTAATTTTTCTCAGATAATTTTTGCCCAAGGAAAGAAATTTTTTGTGTCTGTGAATTTGTGGCAAATATTTGAACTTTGGTTGTGTACTTTTCATCAGGAATTTGCATGTGATCGTCAACCATTGTTGTGAAAAAAAATGAAAGTTTCCAAATGGGAAAAGGCATAATTTGGTTAAAAATATATTGTTTTTGAAAAACTAACCCCACCAATGCAAGGTTTAGCTGCCAGGTTGTAGGCTCATTCACTGCCTGGTCAGCTGAATACCAGGTGAAAGGATCAAACTGCCCATAGGCCACTAGACTTCCAGATCCAAGTGTAAGAGTTTACTCTGCAGGAAGTGAAGGCGGGAGGATCAAACCTGTGTGTGTTCAGGTGCATGTGCGTGTGGCTGTTGGGAGCAGAGAAGTGGTCTTTGTGCCCGAGGGTCAAATGCTGAGTCCTCTTGGTGAGTTGTGACAAGGTTCTGACCCTGGCTTGAGTGGCGATTGTGGGCGAGGTTCTATAGGTGCCTGTTTTTCCTCCCCATGCTGGGCAAGGCTAGAACTCCTCGTGGAGCTGGCATCTGTGTCCTCAGTCCACCCAGGCAAGGCCATCCACTGCTGCCTTCCCACCTGACACTGACTCCTTTTAGTCCCAATAACCCAGGTGGATGGCAGGGGTGAGGCAGGTGCTCTATGGGCTCCAAATACACTGTTCTCCTCACCCAGATTGTCCTGCCATCTCCAGGGCTAGAGCAGGATAGGACAGTGTCACTGGTGAGCAAGGAGGGGACAGATGACCTCAGGAGCCAAACTTTGCAAATACCACTATTTGGATGGGTCGTCTGGTTTAATGCTTTGAATATGGCAGAATCCAATTACCAGTGGTCAGGGGAAAATGGCTGGCATGACTGTGACATTTCAATGGTGCTGTTCCCTCCTCACTAGAGTATGTCCCCACAGGTTTTTCACAACCTGCAGTTCAGTCTGAGCTGGCAGTGCTTGTTTGGAGAATGCTGTGTCCTTGAGCAACCCCAAGAACCCAGAGGCCATCCCAAGTGGCTCTGCCTTTGTCTCCCTGCCACTGTGTCCTCTAGCCTGCCCTCGCTGCACAGCCAGCCACCTTGACACTTGCTCAGTGGCTTGGTAAGAGCAGATGGATGGGGGAATCAGGGGCCTGTGACAGATATCAGGCAGCCAGGGTGGGCTGGTAGAGTCACCATGGGAGAGGCTGCCTGAGGCTACTGAGTGGACATCCACTGGACAGTGTGACCTGATAGTGTGATGCCCCTGACCTTCTGATCTGCTGAGCAGGGACTCTGGACAGTTGTGGCTAAGATCCCCTTGTGGAAGCCCAAGGCTCAGAGTCACTGTTTGTGCACTCAGTTTCTTACTCCACTTGGAGTGGGCAAGATGGAGATTTCAGCTCATAGTTGAGTGCTTCTGGCAGTGAGAATCAAGGTGTTGGGACTCCACTTTCCTGCAATCAGATCTTCTGTATCTTTCAAGAGGCTTCGAGCCAAGGAAGCTAGAGATTTTTTCTGAAGCCTCCTTCTGTCAGGACTGAGTGAGGGCTTAACTAATTAGATTGAATGGTCACATGGCACACTTCCAGCTGGCCAGGAGGGAGGGAGGAAGAGAGAGAGAGAGAGAGATACTTTCCTCTCTCTACTTTCCAACCCCCAACCCTCAATCACACCCAACACAGGCTCACAAACAGGCCCTGCAGCTGTGCCTCAGGCACACAGGACATGACAGAAGACCCAGCAAAGCAGGTGCCCCTATTCCCGGAGTGGGGAGTTCTTCATTGTCACCCTGTGCAGTGACCATGTTACCCATTGGGGTGAGAACATTCTTGCCATGGAGCCATCCTACAGATGGGTGTGGGGAATGCAGAGGAAATACAGCCTGGCTAGAGGAGGGAGGAAGAAGAAAGGGGAGAAGAGGGGAGGGAGACAGGTGGAGATTGAGATTTGGTACATGAGCAAGGGCACTCTGGGGGACTTGCCACTACGAGGGACAAGAAATCACAACCCAGAGCTGTTGTGCTATCTTCAGACACTGAATAGCTGCTCAGCTCCCTGAAGCTCTTGACCTCCACTTTGGCCTGTGGGTCAGATCAATCTTGGGGGACCACCCACCCAGGCTGGTGTGTGGTAAGAAGCCCAGTGAGTCCTGCCATTTCACTGTAGGTCACAGTGCAGAACTCTCACCTCTTCTACCTAGCCAAGCCCGCTTATCTGGCCTCTCCTACTCTTTTCCTCACCCCTTGCTCTTTCCAGAATGAGAAGGTCCTGCTCTGAACCCCAGTCTCCATGGTATTGTCTGGACTCCCTCCAGACACTCCAGGTTCTGCTTACCTCTTAGATCCCAGGTAGCTCATTGCCCCTCCTCTCTGGCATGGGCCTTCTGGCCTCAGACTTACATTGGTTCTTGGCCCAATGGCACCTGCCTTTCCCAGTGGACTGACCTGACAGTTCCTA